TCTGTGAAGACCTGTAAATTTCTGTGCACTTGTGGAAGTGCATGAGCTTCACCTGAGCTCCTCCCCTCTCATGAGCCGACAGCACCTACTGGCTACTCTCCCTATCTTATACACGCTATTTCTCAGGTAAACCACATTCCACGTCGAAACTAACTGGACTGAACGACTTCAGTCATCTCTCCACACTGGGATTCCGCGGTGAAGCTCTCAACGCTCTTTGTGCTTTGTCGTAAGTATTCAATATTATTTTTTTCGTGGATTTTGTGGAGATGGCATTAATATTTTTGAATGAAAACACCATGCTGCTTTCAGATCCGTTACGATAATTACACGGTATCGTACCGATTCGCTCGGTACTAAACTCCGTTTCGATCACAGCGGAAACATCGTTGAAAGAACATCTGTGGCTAGATCAGTATGTACCAAGTAATTGCTGACTAGTAATTATTATATCTATGCCTCCATAGTGAAGTTTCTGTGCGAAAGCGATAATCCTAATGGACTTAGGCCTTCTAGTGGTTAAAATTTCACTAAAACATCCATGTTTCAGACAGGTACTACTGTGATAGTCGAGAGTCTCTTCGAAACCTTACCAGTTCGTAGAAAGGAATTCGAAAAGACTGCTAAGAAAGAGTTTGGTAAAGTATTGACAACAGTACAAAGCTTCGCTCTTTCACGGCCAGATGTCAAATTCATATGCAGCAATACTGTGGCAGGGTAAGCGTTTTCCCAGGAGCATTTCTTTTGTAAACGAAACGTTACTTCGTACATCCTCTTCTGAAATTTTTCTTATACATCACTTGAAGCATCCTTCTAACGAATTTGAGTCCACAATGGCTTTTTTATGCAGAGGAAAACGATAAGACAAAAAAGAGTATCCCTTTATATTGAGCACCAGGTATTTGCACTATTTTAGGAAGCGACAGCAGCAAATCTTGCACTCCAGGAAATGCCCTTATCCGAGACGTGAGTCCCACCAACATTCCCATCCAAACATTTCATTCATGCGGGGTGTTCATTCCAGGTTGTAACTAATTTGTTCGGAGGACGTACTGATAAAAATAAGATGGTTGATATCATGCGATGTCTTCCAACCGAAGACGTTTGTTTGGATTATGGCCTTAACCCAAAGAACACTTATGTTTACGCCGACTACACGTACGCAGAGAGTTCATTTTTTTAAACATTTTCCGAGTATCTCATCTTACAGGATAAGCGGTTTCGTGAGCTCCTGTGAACACGGATTTGGGCGCAGCGCAACTGATCGTCAGTTCGTGTACGTGAATCAACGTCCAGTCGATTATCCAAAGGTAATTTAGGCGTGCTGTACGCTTACTTATCTGCGAGGGATCCGTGTCATATGCGAGGTGTCTGGTGTCTCAGTTATGAAGTGTGCTGCTCTCGCCGTTCGAAAAGGCGCGGAAATGAGGATGGAGCGAGCGAAAAGTGGATGTCGTTTGGGTTCCTCCCAACATCCACAACGCTTTGGTTGCGGGTGCCCCATATGGCATCCAGCTACTACTATCCGACCTTATTCTCGCGTATTTTCGAGAGAAGAACAAGTCACGCTCCTGCAAGGCTCGTTCACCTCGCACTTGGTGAGGACCAGGATCCCTGAAGGTGAGTGTATAGCGCCTATTTAGAAGACACTTTATGTCATTTACTAAAAGTAGATTCGTCTGCTCAGTCCCAGGGTATCCTTTGAAACTTTATACGAATTTTCTTCTTCGCTATAGCCAAGTTTAGAGATGTGTTGAACACTTCCAACATCTTTCATATCAGAGTTCAATGTGAACATTCTCAATAATTTACTCCAGGTTTGTCGAGTAGTGAATGAAGTCTACCAGCAATACAATCGATCTCAGTATCCAACCTTGGTTCTTAACATTGAAGTCCCTCCAAGTGTGTTTGTTTGTCCCTCCAAACGCTGACGAAATTTCAATGAAAATCTTCATATATCTTCAGATATGATCGACGTTAACGTTACACCTGATAAGCGAATGGTGTTTTTCGAAAGAGAGAAGGAATTGTTGGCCCTCATACGATCTTCGATTCTCGCCACTTATCATCCACTTTTGGGTGCATATACATCTGTGGAGGACACTCGAAGCAAAGGTAATGTTTCATATCTGAAGTGGTTCAAACGGATGAAAGGACTGGCCAAATTTACAGATGACGATAATTGTGATGATGCCACCAAGTCCAACTCGAATGCTCCACTTTCTGCACATAGCGCATTGTCCTCCTTGCTGAAATCAAATTCGGATAAAGCTTCGTCTCCTGCATGCACTGTTCCCCTGGGACCGCCGCCCAAGAAATCAAAAACTGATGATTTCTTCCCGGCTTCTAAGGTAGTGCTCTTTCTAGTTTCAATGTCAATCCTTTAGACTCAAACTTTTCTTCCAAGATTCAAACGATGGCGGTAGTCCTTCTCGTATTTCTTCCGGCCTTCAGAAAATGTCTTCACGGTTAAGTTGTTCCCAGGGTCATCGATCCACCTTGTGGCGGCTGATCAAGGCTATGACGAAGGCGGATTTTATCATGCCGTGATTGACAGAAAGTTGCGCATGGATGGCGTTGGTGTAGTTGGCTGGGTTACCCGGCAATAAGCGGGGTCGCATTCGTTTTCTGTCCTTCTGCGCTCTAGCGCCAAGGTAGTATTCGTCGAGTAGTCCTCGCTAACCAGTCTGCTTTGGAGAGTGTCATCAAGCAGAGAGTGGATGTGTCCATAGCTTTCAAGCTGCTCTCTCTTCCCCTCTCCCAACTCCAGTACTACATGTTTATTCATCAATCCTAAGCTCGAAAGATTGCAATTGGAAAAAAAATATTGGGAATTGTTCTGTAAGGCGATTGTGCAAAGTACTGCTCCATTGTCAGTCGACAGACTTCCCGCTTCCTTTTACGAGCAAAGCAATTATGATGAACTTTTTCGATGGCCCACATGATTTATTATTCTATGAAACCCACTCTTTCAGAACTTAACAAACCAATCAAAGACGTTGGACTTGTTTGCTTTCAAACCCATCCCGCGAGAGAGTCCTTGTTCGGCCGTAGCTGCACAACCATCTATCTGCTCGAATGAAAAGCCCGAGAGCTCAGCGAAATCGGCTACATTGTCCATTCATCCTTCTCCCAGCAAACCGTCCAAGGGAACTCCGAAGAAGAAGGCATCGGGTTCGTTGCATGTGCTCCATTCTGATTTTGCTGCATGCCATATTTGTAGCTAGCTGATTTTAGATTCGTTCGAAGAGTTTAGTCATGAGAAGAAGTCGTACTCTCCATCGCTCATGAGAGATTTGTCACGTGGATTCGAAAATAACATCGAGAAGGATAGGCTCGCAATAGAGAAAATGGAAACAACGATGGATCAGGAGTGTAATCTAGAGATGCGTGGGCAGGATGGCGTTATGAACCATGAGGTGATCCATTTTAAACTTTGATTAGCTAAAGGAAACCCGAAATTCTCTTCATTCCCAGGAAGCGCCAACATCGTTGAATCCTACGGAGAATGCTGAAAAAACTAATTGCTTCTTGCGACCACAACAGAAGGTTACCACTCCATTAGAGATTCGAGATTTACCTATTTATCCTTGTGTTCATACTATCGCTACAAGTATTTACCATTAACTACTACAAGTTTTTATCACTCATTATCTGCGCCAGAGGCAGTAAGTTTGATGATTTAGATGCCCTTCTCCATGGCTTCTCTCAAGGAACGTTTAAACCGTCTACGTGTTGCCAAAGCCAAGGAGGAACAAGCAAGGCTAATTTTTCAGCTTTTCATGGTAGGCCTGACGCCTTTTGTGAAAGATGTTGTTTCAGTCAATCAATGGAGTTCCATGCAGGCTTGAACCCTTCAGAGAACGAGCTCGCAGAAAAGGAACTTGAGCGTACGCTCAGGTAAGTTCCAGTACATCAAGGATTGGTCGTGCCAGGTGAGCTCTTCGGTTTTTAGGAAATCCGACTTCGCCCAAATGTCTGTGATCGGACAGTTCAACAACGGGTTCATTATCACTCGCTTGCGTAACAATTTGTTCATCGTTGATCAGCATGCCAGCGATGAGAAATATAACTTCGAACGCTTCCAAAAGAAAGCTCGAGTGGAGACTCAGCGACTCATACAGTGAGTTTTACCGCCTGCACATAATATTTGCTCCTGTGGAATAATACGTGGATATCGTACCCAAGGCAGCTCAAAAGGTTCTCAACATTTGATTCAGAGGGGTCACGCCCATAACGACACCCACCGAATTGCGATTGAATTCCCCACGCCGACCAAGCCTTTCTCCCTCTAAGGCCCATGAACTCGTTCCTGACTCGTCGGCAGGATGGAACGCTGGCTTACACATTGGCTGACCCCCTCTCAACTAGATAAGCCATTAATAGCATTGAAATGACACAGTCAACTTGGATGGGACTCAGCTGCCTGGCACATCAATCTGATATTTCACCCTTCCCTATTTGTACTTACAGACCACAGCATCTCGATCTTGGTGCAGTCCAAGCATCTGTGCTTAAGGACAACCTCAGTATTTTAGAAGCAAATGGTTTCGGTTTCGAATTCAAAGAAGGAGGTAGTAAAGTTCCTATTATTACTTTGGTTCTCACTAACTACCTCACTTCCAGAAGATGGATGTCCGATTCCTTTGCTAGTTTCTGCTCCCGTTCTTCATAGTTGGCAATTTGACAAAAGCGGTAGCAGTTTTCAGCTGGTGTTTAGCCAAAGGAGAAATTTAAAAAAAAGCTGTGTTTGCAGACATCGAAGAAATCTTGACAGTGGTTTCCGAATTCCCCGGTGTGATGTATCGTCCAGCCAAGCTTCGACGAATATTTGCTTCCAGAGCTTGTAGGAAATCCGTGATGATTGGCACAACACTTACCATGGCACAAATGCAAAATGTAAGCGAGCGACTTCAGTTACACTCGAAATTCCTGATTTGTTAGGCTTTGGCTGCGCAATTCAACTAAGCGTGGCGGCTGCTGTGCTTCTTGGAGAAATATTTCCATTTTGACACAATTGTGTCGTGTCTCTGTTCAATACAGAACAAGATGACAGTTGTCTCACATTGAATATCCCACGAGTAATCCATTCTGTGCCATGTTCAAATGCCATGCCTATTCCGTCTCAAAATAAGAATATTTGGCGTTCCGTATCATATGACCACGACACCTAGAACCAAATACTCAGGGATGATCGAGCGGGTAACCTGGGGTTAAGCGGGGGCGTCGTCTCATTCGGTCCGAGGAAAATTCTCCGTTGATTTTCCCTGATTCTACCGCTTTCCACAACGCTGGGGAACATCTTTTGGCGGAGATGGCCCTATTATTCGTGCTTCGAGGTTGTATCTGGCCTTGAGGAGATATTTTCCGAGCGGTTTTTTTCCGTTCGGGGAGGATCGCATTTCATTTCCCCCAGCGACAGCGTGTGCACTAAAACACTGAACTGTTTACGTGTTTGGTAACACTGGAGTACCATGGCTCTTTTACGAAGGTAATATTGATCCTGATCTAACTGTATTTCAGATTGTCCATCACCTTGGTACACTGGATCAACCATGGGTATGCACACACTGCTTCCTCTTCATTTTGAAGGTTAGTATATTGGGAATTTCAGAACTGTCCTCATGGGCGTCCAACTCTTCGACATCTTGTCGATCTACAAAACATAAACATTTGACAACTTACTTGTACATTTGATCTCAACTTGTGAAGTTCTCATTGTAGTTACCAATAAATACTACTTCATTTATTCTTCTGTTCAACACGAAACAAGATTTTAAAAATTTATTACCTGTTATAATATTTTCGATTTACTACACAATACCCAGAAAAAAATGCACAAGGCAATCGAAACGAAAGACTGATGGGAGAACCTCCCATAAAATTGTTGAGTTTACTCATATTGAGATCTGATTTTAGTATGTTACCTCTGCTCAACATCACACAGCTCTCTCACAGTTCGATTAAGCCCACACGAATTTTTCCACACTACTTTCAGAACTAATCATAAGCCACCGTATCACCTATCTTTACACCAGTTACACGTATTCACTCGTGACTAGTACCAGTTGCAACGATACTATGAAGCAATGAAAGCACCATATCTCTTAAACCGGTTACCTCAACAACGCTGCACCCTGATATTGAATAAGATAGTGAGATCCCATTTCACTGAAGGCTGTTCCTTATATACACAGGTAGCCCCTGTAACCCCAAAATAAAATCGCAATTTTCATTTACATAAACTTAGAATGCGTGCTGATACGTGCTACGGTGGTTTATCTGAAGTGTTTTGATAAACGCATATTCTCAATTCCCTTATCTGATCAGCTATGCGAGGCGAAGAAGTCGTGAGGAGAAGAGAGGAGACCAGCATCCATATCCCGTTCGAGTTTCACCTGTAGTACCATGGCACAGTTCTCTAGTACGGAACACTAAAACTGGTGAGATAGGCGAATGGATATTTAAATGATAATATATGGCAAAAACTGACGCCTTGCTTAAATATCCGTTGACTAGCTCGTAAGAGATCATTATCTTTCTTTATTCGTTGAATTTTTACCCTTTGTTCTTCAAATTTCTTTTCGAATTTGCGGTCAATCTAAAATGTGTTGTTGGTCCATGTGTTCACAAACCTCCAGAGCAAAATATGTACCTTCTCCTCCCATCGCAGCAGCGTCAAAGCGGAAACTGCATTAGCTGCAAGTCTTATCTTTCGAGCTAAAAAATTGTTCTATGAAGCCCCAATTGTTAGAACTAACGAATCTGATCAACGGTAAACCCACCCGCAAGTTTTCGCAGCCGGTTGCGATCTTCGATCGCAAGAAGGTAACGGCCGCGAGATTGTCTCATTTTTCCCTTGTTGATTCGCCGTCGAACTGCACAATAGCTAGGAGTGGATGCCCCCGACGAAGACGGCGTAGAGGTATTTGATTGGACGATTGGTGCTTGATGCACACAGCACTCACTATCGGAGCTCTCAGCGCTCATTGACACTGTTATAAAGAAGTCAGAATAGGTATAGGCTCATACCAAGTGTTTTTCGACTCCGGAGTACCAACATACTGGTCATCCTTTTCCGACAAATGCACGTATGCAACCTCGACGCCATGGAGGCATTTTACTCTTTTTAATGCCTCGTACCGACGCCATATTTTGTGCAGAACATTTGTCATTCATCTCTACTACTCCTAAAGCCACATCTGTACACACGAAGCAACGACTCTTCGACAGTGCAAATGTGTTCAGTAATTGTCGGAATGGTAAGTAACAATCGAGAATAATCTTAACGTCACTTCCCCTTCCACCACTGGAACAGCTCACCTCTAACCACGTTCTACCTTAGAGACCGACAGACAAACTTGGTTTATGTCTTAGGTCCAACCTCCTTGACCACCTGCAAATTCTGGGATCCCTCCGCTCAAAAAAGACGTCCAAGTAAGGCCGCGTTCATACATGATGCAGAAATGCGGAATATGCAGAACTGCGGAATTTGCAGAAAGGAAATATATACGTATCGATCTGAAAACTGCATTTCTTCAAATTCCGCGGAATTTGCCGACATGCAGAAATGACGGACAAAGAATTGATAGGGATCGATTGGTTCTTCCCTGCCGTCGTGCGGAATTTGCAGAAATGCAGAAATGACGGACAAAGAAGTGATGGGGATCGATCGGTCCATCGGCATTTCTGCAAATTCCGCACTTCTGCATATTCCACGGTTTTTGAAATCGATAGACATATTTTCTTTTTTTCTGCAAGTTCCGCGGTTCTGCAGATTCCACACGTCTGCAAATTCCGCAGTTCTGCACATTCCGTGGTTCGGCATTTCTGCATCATGTATGAACGCGGCCTTACAGAAAATTACATCCACCCAACGCCAACAATATGATACGAAACACATTGTGAAGCCTCGATGGAGATACGGCAGAATCGGGTGCTGATTTTCCTTCGGATTAGGGAAGGTTCTCCCAATAACTCTCTGCTCTTTCCCCGAATGAAGCCCTACGTTTAAAGCGCAGATGAACAAGCTTGTAACCCCGCCAAAAAGACACGGTCTCTCTTACCCCTAAGTCCAGGAGAAAGGGAACCATATCGCTCGGAATTCTGCACTATTTGACGATGACTAGGGTCAAACCATGTTCAATGATCAGGAATGGCCTAAGCGATCTGATCTACTACGTCAAAAAAGATAGCGGGTTGACCTAGTCAGCACCCTTGGTATACATAGCAAACAGAAAATATAATCACAAAGCACATACATATAAATATGGCGACGCATATACGTCATCGAACCAAAGACAAAACACGAAAACTATCAATTCTTTATTCTGAATGAACGACATCTCATGACCGGGCTGAGAAGTGAAGTTCCTCATTTTGGAGACATCGACCGTTTGCTGAGCCATCCGGATGGAACAGAGACGACAACAACCTTCGACAATAAAGACGAGAGGTACCTTGTGCACCGACAACGAAAAGCTCGTACGGTTTACATACGGATACCCCGCACGGCACGAAAGGACCAACTACTGAATCAATGATAACCTGAAAATGACTGTTAAGCTAACCTACACATTAAAGTGATCTGCACTTGTGCAATCAAATGTAGCAGAAATCCAACCTCCGGGAGACCGCTCCACTCGGGCACGACCCCGTCACGGTCAGCCTTCCTCGTCAGCGGTAGGGTAACCGAAACCCACAGCGCATTTAACCGCAACAAGCAGTTATTTCAACCAATACACTTTCCTATGAGAGATAACCTGTTTTCTTTTTCCAAGGCAAATATTAACGTTTGAATTCACTGTACACTACCGAAATTATAAGGTATGCCACCAACCATCCAATCATTACGCTTTAGGGCGGAAGGCTCCAGCAGACCGACATCACACCCCGCTCTGACTGACATTTCTCCGGAAATAGACATTCTAAATTCAACATCGATAAAGTCAAACTGACAGACAAGCAATTTCATCTCAAATTTATGACATATTTGCGTTAACTTCACAATAACCAATACAAGTTAATACAACTGATACACGTAGTCTATTTCACTCTAAACAACTCTACTGTGAAAACGTCATTAATTCAGTGATATCAAACAAATCATTACTGAAATCCTTATCATAGGCAGGTCCACTAAAATTTGGAGTCTGTAAGGGATCACGTGACGAATACGAATTACTTTCAATCATTTTACGAAGGCTATCTACCTGCGCACTGAGTCTAGCGTACCCTTCAGTGAGACGTTTGTTCTCAGCTCGGAGATACTTATTCTCCTCGGTCAGCTCTCTGACCTGTGCCTCGCAAGCGGCCAACTGATTCTTTTTCTGCTCTCGATAATTCCTTGCATAATTGGCCATCTTTGATGTACTTGTAACTTTCATCGGACGACCACGACGATTAGGCTTTGGAACAGCAGCTTTCTGAGGCGTAACAGGACGCTCGAGAGGTTTGAAATCAGAGGCGAAGGAAGCAGGTGAATCAGCAGACATCATCACTTCATCAGAATAAGAGATTTGTTCACGGAGACAGTCAGGAGAGCGAGTGGGATCGATGTAGCAATAGCTGGGCAATTCGTCACCGAACGAACCGTAGTTGGTAAACTCAGCGCTACTCTCATCGACACTCTCAACAGATCCTGACTCACCCAAGTACTTCATGAGGAGATCGTTCTCGTATCGCGACGAGTAGAATACCACGGCTTCTGGATCGTTGCTGAATTGGAACGGAACACAGTTCGATACGTTGTACGATGCTTGAACTTCTGGTTCAGATCTGAAACAGTCGGTAAGCATGACTCTAGCAGTAGAAGAATAGATAGACGAGCTCGAAACGGAGCTAAGGATAACCTAAGATGCTACGGATGAGAACCACTAGGAACGCACCACGAGTAACACCGAAGACAAGCGGCAGAATGAGGGAATCGATCGGTGCTAGCCCCGCCCCGCGACGATTTTCGAAACTCCTCGCAGAGGTGGCCGCAGCACAGCTACAGTAGCGCCAGGACCTGCAGATCGTCTCCACATTCAAACTGTGATTTACGTGACGACGTCACGTGACACGCTGGAACTATGTACTGATGACGTCACATGAGAGCTAAGTGTTGGGGGGCACGCAGCTCGCGGTGAGCGATGACTCATCTGCTCTTCTGCTTCCTGTTTCGGCGAAATGGAAGTAATTTAATGTTTAGGACATGAATATAAGATCGCCCTAGGCTGATATACAGAAGGCAAAACAGTTAACACTGTAAAGTGCGATGATACAATTGTAGCGCAAGACTTTTGCCTGAGCCTACAATGGAGGAATCCTGGTCGACCTGAACTCATCCTTTCTGTGTGTGACAATCAGTCAACCAATCCGCAGAATCTTAACATGTTGACGACCGCTTGGGTTTTTACTTTTTCGGCCTCGTGGGATACGCGCGCTTTCTCTAACGCCACAAGCGCGGTGCGCGCAGGATACAGCATGGGGATGTGCGAAATGGCGGTGTGAGTACGACCCCCCCCCCTCGAAGAGGGTCCAGTTACGACCCCCCCCCCTCCTGCTCTAACTGACAACCAGATGCATGTTCACCACAAATGGCTTCCTGAAATGGAATCTGGATTTTCGAAAGGCGGACTCTGCTCTAAAATCCAGGCAATAATAGGCTGTTTCAGCCTCATGCAATATGAGGCTGAACAACAGCCTCGCATTACCTACAATTTTGTCTTAGGATTCAGAATAAAACTCGTCGTTCGACAACCATGTATGACATGCAACTTGTAACAAGGAACACAATCAAAACAGCGACTAATGGTGATCATTGATAAGCTAAATTGGTGAAAAAATAGCCCCAAGGTCAGCGTGTCAGCAGGCCAGATTGTGCATTCATTGAATGGTGACGGGGAAATCATGAAAACATGCACGACACAACAAAGCGAAACATGAAAAATACAAAAAAATGCGGAGCCAAATGAAAAAATGGATAACCAGGCGGCAGTATATCGTTCTATACTATTATCGATCGCAACGTTGCGACCGCTTTCATTGGAAAAACGTCATTGGAGCGCGGTTGTTGGGCCTGCCAACGTCCTGGGGTCTTTTCGGGGGTTATATCTCTTTGAGGGGCGCGGCTTTTGATGAATGGTTAGCAGCATGCAACGGGAATGTTCCTACTGTTGCGTTTTCTACCCAGTTGCAATCTGAATGTTCCCCGTTCGTGAAATATTTCGGATCGGCTAGGGGTAAATGGCAAGCGGGTTTTTATGCTTCACACGAGGATTACTTATTTCGAACGCAATTTCATCAGGATTAAAATCGTCTTGAAACCGCCCTATCTTTTCTCTTTTTCCAATACAGTTCCTGAAGACCCGCTAGTTCAGAAGATGTTTTAGATGGGTCACAGATGCGCTACCCTCTGACCCACCCGAAAAATCGACTCCTTCTGTGCCATTGTGAGGATACACCTTCGGAAACTTCAGTGTGCCTTCAAAACACATATTTATCCTTGAGTTAAAAGAGGCTCGCTATCACTGGATCGATTTGGTCCGAGTGTGCGCCGTGCATTACGCTCCTACGCAGAGGTGGTGGAAAGGTGTAAATTCTGATTTCAGGTGCTTTTATCCATGCAAGCAGATGTTTGTTTAGGGTTTGGAAAGGACAATACGCACGAATCTGTTTGAGACGTATTATTTAGTCATCTAAGTCGGATCGCCCGGCTGACGCCGAGCTCTCCTCCTTCTCTATAGCTCGGCTTCGCCGAGCTGGCCTGGCTTCGCCAGGCAACTTCCCTTGGGCGATTTAGAATGCGATAAATGTACCAAACGGTGGCAGTCATTTTTTATTAAACTCCAGAAAATTGAGTTGAAAAAGCTCAAGATCAGTCACTATCTACCAACATTTGGTTACTTATGCTTACTAAAGACTTTCAGCCGTGAGAAGGCAGCACCAATCTACACTAAAGCCGCAGCTCGCGATCGCTAAATGGTAAACATTACATAAGGCTGCGTTTATACTTTGCGGCAGCGTAGCGTAGCGCTTCCAGCGTACGCCAGCGGCAGTGCCGAAGAGGATAGGATGCATATCGATCTAGCTTCACCAGCGTCCCACCAAGCGTCGTCACGCTGGCGTACGCTGGCGTAGCGAGGGCACGGGAAGCATAGCTATCGATCTAGCTTCACCAGCGTTTCTCGAGCGTTTCTCCAGCGGCACCAGCGTTTTGCTAGCGCTTGCAGCGGCAGGGAGTAGAGACTATGTGGCCGTGAGAGACGCGGAATCGACGTGTATTGTAGAGACCATGTGGCCGTCGGAGACGCAGAAGCGATGTGCATTGTAGAGACTATGTGGCCGTCGGAGACGCAGAAGCGATGTGCATTGTAGAGACTAAGGGCGAGTGAGAGACGCGCAATCGATGTGTTTTGTACCTCCAGCTCTCCCATCAGTCTTATACTCCCCCTGCCAGCTGCAAAACCGCTAGCCAAAACCTGACGGTGAAACGCATGGCAGCAAAACCCAGCGGTGGGTGAGCCTAGGCCGCAGTGCCCGCCTGGTGACGCCTCGGTGGACAGCTCAGCGCACATCGACTATGCACTCACTCTACTCTACCCGGCACTGCCAAACCGCTCGGACCGGAGCGTCCTGGCGAAACGCGCCGGCGCCGGCCTCTCAGCGCCCGTACCGCTTCACCCCCTGCCGCAAACGTATCACAACCGCAGAGGCTACACTTCTGAACTTGCGCCACAGAAGAACTTCACACTCTGCGTGTAATGTGCGTGCCGACAGGAGGTCCCCACGCCTAATTGTTGGGTACACTGCTTATTTTGCTCCAGTTGCAACCGCTAACACCTGACACATCACAACATCACATAGCAGAAAGAATTTGCGCGCAATTCTTTCTGCATAACCTGACGAATCGGTACAGACTGCCTGACTACCACAGATGTCGCGCTGATGGTATCTTCACTTTCACTCGTATCCCGCCTTTTTATCGATCTGCGTAACATTCTGTCACCCCGTCATCGATCGCGCTCAGTCCCGGGCCAAATCTCTGACAGAACTTGGGTCGCACGGCGTTTGGAATCACCTCGAACAGGCCGACGACGACCCTGCACTTGCTGCCTTATCAGCCCTCACTTCAGTAGTTATCTCTCGCTTCGCTTCACCCGCCGCGCTTCGATTCCATCTCACACCCATCTCTATCACCACTTGCGAACACGCATCCGCCTCGCCGCATCGCTGTGACCTGCCGGTCACATGATATTCACGCATTAACGCTCCACCTCTCTACTGCCGCCTTATCGAGTCCTTGACCTCAGCTCGACCCATAACTTCCTGTCACCCACCAATATACGTTCCTGTCGCCCAGACCTCCATCATCCTCATACGCTCGGCAAGTCAAGAGCTAGCGGCGCATATTCGTCAACCCGCCTCTCACTGAAGCAGCTGGGACCTCCGGCCTTTCCTCACTGCCTCTTATCGAATTCTTATCAACTCCGAATACCACACCGTCACCACACCGATGCTGTCCCGTCACACCCCCTCCATCATCCCTGCGCCAATAAGCTCTCACTGCTACTGGACAGGGTTCATGAACTTCTGACCACAACCACCACACCCACACACACACCACACCACCACACACACTCACCACCACCACACACACACACACACAACACATCAACACACCCACACCCACATACACACACACAGCACACAAACACCACCTACCACACCACACCTTTATCCGGATCCACTCACCTATCCGCACCTAGGTTCTAAAAGGCGCGGTCTCTGACCCGGCTCGTGCCGCCGCGTCTTTTAAAAAATGGTCTGTCGCTCTGTCTGAGGAGATCCAGACCCAAGGTCTTTACAAAAATGGAGGTTCATTCTTGCTACTGCCGCTCTTCCTGCGCGGCAGGTCAAAAACCTGAGTGCGGTGGCACGCTGAACACAACACACCCTGTCGCACCGAGATAACATTCGCAGTGTGTAATCGTCCGTTAATCGCCTCTGTGGTAGCCTTACACCTTTGACAGTGCATAATCGCTGAGGTGTCACCCTTCATTAGTATCTGAAAAGCGATGGCCCAACAGTAAAGCAATAAGAAAAGTGGACCGCGAGGCGCACGGTAATACGAGTTACCTGACCACGGTCTCGCGCAACCCGCTTCTTCGCGGTCGGCGGATGGCGGAGTCGGACTCTACACTGCCGTTGGGCTCCGCGAAGAAGGGTCTGGGATGGATCCCTGGGCGACCAATCTGGGCACTTTTTCGGCAACCTATTTATATCACCTTTCGGTCTTGGTTCTACGACACCCCGATTTTCCTGACCACGCGCGCAAGCTAGCGCGACTGCTGCCAAGACATTCATTCCACTGACATTGCTTACCAACCCGACGCCCGGCTGTTAAGCGCTCATCTCGAGCGGAGAAAATTTTGTGCTTGAAAGTTTTTCGTTATATAGAGTTATTAATGGCCCTGATGACGACTCTGGCCCTTTTATAAAACAAAAAAAAAACAAAAAAACAAAAAGGAGAATAGAGAAAACCACAACACAAGCAAAGAAAAAGCAAATCACAAAAGCCTGGCGTCTAGTCATTTGGCGCCCAAACCACCGGTTCTGAACACCCCCCCCCCCTCACGCCAGCTGCGGGTTGGGATGCTGCGAGAATCTCTTGAGAAACTACAATGCTGCCTCACTATGTGCCAAATAAAGTACTTTTTTACCTTGAATTGTATTGTTTACGATGCAGTGTCGACAAAAGTCTCATCTGCTCATTCGCCATACTTACATGTATAAATAGAATAACCGGCCTCGA